AAAACTAAAATGAGTGAAGAATTAAAAAGGTTAATGAAAAGTTGTAATACAATTAAAAAAATTCATAAAATGCCAATAAAATGCCTCAGCTTAAAAAAGGCATAATCGAAAGTGTGTGGCCTACTAAAACCATCATGTAAGAAATTTTTAAACAGTTAAAGCTCAAAGGAGAAAAATTTTTCATATTTGAAGCAACAACAAATCAAGATATGGAATGTTTATAGAAATCAGTATTTGAAGTAGATAACTCATTAATTCCTGAAGATACATTTAAGAAACATATCGAAAATAAGGTCAGTTTCGAATTTGTATAATATATTTATATATATATATAGCCATGTATTCTTGAGTTTATGAATTATTGCTGTTATTTAAAAACGTATTTTTTTGAAATTCAAAAATATCAAGAAGCTAGAACAGGTTGTATAATTTGTAGACTGCCATGAAGTAGACCTGAAATATTTTTAAAGTTGCAACTCTTTTCTGATCCTATTCCTAAAGCAAATAAAGATTATTATATACTATTCTGTGAAATCTATAGTAAAAATACTTGTGAAAGATACTACTCATCATTGCTCCAAAAAGTTAATACATCTATATCAACAACTATTACGACTATTGATAGTCTTGGTGTTAATGGAATGGGTTTTAGCTCTTGAGCACAATATGCAACAAATGTTTGCATCTTGATCAAATGCATTAAATATAACTATCTATATGTTCTCTATTCACAACATTGTCTAAGCCCAGAGAAGAAAAATCTTTTTAAAAATTTCTTAAAAACAATTGATTATATAAGTGGTATAACATTTTGTAAAATTTCAAATCTTACAAAAATCAATCTACCCTTATTTAGAAATAATAATAATTGCAGTATAAATAATGATGAAGTTGAGCTTCAAGACGCAGATAATAATATAAATAGTAATAGTGATGGTGAAAGGTTTATTGATGATGGTAACTATGATGGCAATAGTATGAAAGATGGTAAAAGGTTTATTAATGATAGTAACTATGAAGGCGATGATATGGAAGATGTGAAAGATTTATTGATGAAAAGTTTGTTGATGAATCATTCACAGAACTACAAAATACAGCATCTTTAGAGATATTATTCAAATGGGTATTTGTTAATACCAAGCTTACCTGCACAGCACCAATAGAAGTTTTTTACTTTTTTTTTCACCTTTATTTAGATGTTTGTTTCCAGTGTAGTGATACAGAAATCTTATCACCAACTTCTGCTAGTAAACAACTATACTGCTCTGAATGCTATATTATAGTCAAAACTAAAAAAAAAAAAGGACAAAGGCATTAAGTTTAGGCCTAAAAAAAAAAGCAACTAAGAAAAGTGTTACGGTATAAACAAAGACTTTTATAAATATATTATTTGCGCAATTTTAAAAGCATTAGTTATACAACAGCATGTACTACAACTAGTTCAAATATATTAGAAATGTGATTGCAAATATTTACACTACCAAAAAAACATGTGTAAAAGTTTCTGCAAATAATTCTATATTTTTTTTGGTCTCACACCTTGAAATAAATTTGAAGCAAATATGATAGCTAATTTGAGCATTTCATAGTAACATTTCACATTAGTGTGGTGCAACGACCTAAGGCAGTGTTGTATATGGGACAATTTTAGACAATTTTGAACATTTTTTCAAATTAAAATTACTCAAAATTTTATTAAGATAATCTATTTTAATTTTTTCACCAATGAATCTAGCACTTAAAAAAAATATATAATTATGTATTTTTTTAAATTATTTTATTGATTAGTTAAACATGGGACATAGGCTTGGATAATTTTGAACAATCTTGAATGTTGGACATTTTACATAGTGTGGACATGTCCCATGTACAACACTGGCCTAAGGTTAATATAATAATATTTGTATTAGTCTAAAAAAAAATTACAACCCAATTTTTCTGCTAAATTTGCTCAAAAAAAAAAAAATTTATTTATATAAATTTTGTAAATTCTATACAAAGTTATACAACTTTTATTTTTATAGTATTATACTTATTTATTTAAAAACTTGAAATGCCCTGGCCCTCTGTCTTCTGTGATTACATCATAATAAGTTCTTTGTTAATACACCAGCCAAATAAAAAAAGTGAAATCAAACAAATATTGATTTAGCAAGCATTTGAACTATCATTGTACTAGTATTACAGTATATATGCAGTATATCTTTAAATTGTATTACGTGAGCTTTCACGTGTTAGATATTACATTATAAGACCATATATATGTTATTATAAAAAAACATTTTAATTTTTATAAAAAAATCACCTGGCCAGATGACGAGAATCAATTTTATTTATGTATGTGGCCTAATAATTATTTTGAAATAAAGCTGCTAAGTTGTAGTAAATTAACTTAGCTACAATTTAATAACTTTTTTTTTTTGTATCTTTTTCACATCATGAGCTATTGTCTTTTGAAATTATTTTAGTCTTTAGTGTCATGCACTGTAGTAATAAATTAATTTCTTATATAATATAATATAAAAATTATTTTTATTAATCTATAAGATGGAGTTTTGTCTTGACAATCACATTATGAAAAATATAATCATATACCCAATATTTTATTACAATTATACTAAATCACACCAATGGTGTTAATATTACATATATGTTTTTGATAGTTTTTAAGTAAAAATTAGGGTTAGGGGTCCTAAGATAAACTAGTATTATAGATTTAAATTCTAGTTAGGGTGAGGTTTTTGGGAGTATTAAATATTTTTACTTAGTTTATTCGGTGTTAATTAATTAGCTAGTTTTTGAGATATAACAACGGTGGTGTTAACACCACTGGTGTGATAAAACCGGTTTATTAACAAAATAAGATTAATATAAAAGAATTATAATAAGATATTTTATTTTAACATATGCTAACTATAAACTTTATTGTTTGTACGCAATTTATACAATTTGTATTACGTACCAATCTTTAACACTAATACAAAAAGATTATTTATGATTATATATTTGAGAATTTAAACATATTAAGGCGTTATATTAATATTAAGCTTAACATTTTACTACGTACTAAATTAATTACATAACATATTACGTATAAGGTAGATTAATTAGTGTCAAAATAGATTAAACCGGCCAAACAGTGTAAAATAGATTCATGATACTTGTAAAGCAATAATTATTTAATGAGAAGCGTGAGATTAAATTTACTATTGAAATCTAGTTACTTTGAAGAGAAACTGACCGAAGAAATATGTAGAATGAAGAGAGTCGAAAAAAAGGAGCATGACCATTTTTCACACATAAATATAATAAAGATGCATTAGATTTAAATACGTATCATATTTCAAACTGACATCTAATGAAATATAGTACCGGTAATACGTATTAACACTTCGGATACAATCTAGAATGTATTGATCGGCTTTCAGTGCTTTTTTTTATGTAACCTCTTAAACTTTGATAATAATAATACTTATCTCCGCCCAATATATTTCGGGCAATACATTTTCCGAATTAGAAAGACGGCACCAAATATTATTTCGCCTCATATTGCAAATCGAACATGAGATCATTATGCATAATGAGTTTAGAGAAAAGGCTATCCAATAACAACAAGCGAATCGATAACGCATCACACGGAATCGCCCAAATCATCCTATTAAGAAAGCTTTTTCAACAGGTAAACGGGAAAATGAGAAATGGGAAAAAATAAAAAGAAAAGTCGGATCATAAGACAGGTTGGTCCCGATTAGTTAAATAATGGTTCTACAATAAATCTTAAGATCATAAGAGGTAATTTCACCAATCATATGAATAGCGATAATATCTAAAATCAACCAAATCCACGAATGGTATACTAAAATGAGATGTGAGAAATCGGATACTACGTATTAAAGATTATTATTATTGTACTATTTTGTATGACTAATTGAGAATCAATGGGATATAAATTAGTGAGTTTCATTACATGCATAGGTAATTCAGCAAACATAGTACCAACCGATATGTTACTTTATCGACAATCTATCAAAATAATCACTCGAAAATTCAGTAAAATATTGCTATACCGAGTTCGACATAAATATAAGTAACTTTAATAACTAAAATAGTGAACATGGCTTTGTATTTTTATTTATTATTTATCAGTGTCTAATCAATAACAAAAATGGTGTGTATTTTTTAGGATGTATTTTTAAGGAATAAATGATTGAATGGAACCCCATTCTAATCTCTAGAACTAATAATGGCTAAAATGATAGAAGTATGCAAGAAAACTTAGTATGAAAATATGTTACGCCTCTGGCTACGTATGCATTTTTTTTTAAAGTTATAGTCTTTAAAAACTTCGTATGACATTGGTCTTAAAAACTTAAAGCATCATTCACAAGCATATACATGTACTAGCTTAAACTTTTATGCACGCCATTTGAAGCCAGCGCCGAGAACTCATATTCTTGCTTCTCTGCCCATTCACCTACCAGCTTGCTTGCTTATCTGCTTGATAAATAAAAGACCTCTCGCAGACTTTTCGCAGACCTTTCGCGTTTTTTTTTTTCTTTTTTTTTTGGCCAAGAATCTTGATTCCAAATCGGTTTCTTTCTTTTTTTTCTTTTCTCTTTGGGAAGAGAAACTTAAAACCAATAAAAAACCAATAAAATGTAATATATATATATATATATATATATATATTTATTTATTTATTTATGCATTTATGTAAGTACGAGTTAAAATCTTCGAACAGAATAACTTATCTAGTTTAAATAATAATGTAAGACAGTTACGTAAACCTTAAGTAACGTAAGTTTTATAGCAATTAAAGTTTATATCAAGTAGCTCATTGTGTTAAAAAGCGGTGAACGAACAGACTATAAGGATACCGACTTAAGGCAAGGGGCCGATTTTAAGTGTATCCGAATCTCCAATTAAATGAAACAGGGGATGAGGAGCATAAAAACGCACTAACTTCCTGCATCGACTATCGGCTGAGCTACGATCATAAAATGACGACGTAAAGTTATAAGTCATATGATCAAGGTTATACAATCGTGACTCCAAAAAACCAAGGTTTTGTGTAACATAATATAACCAAATTATTTTTTACACTATAACCATCTATTCGGAGATTAGATACTCATACTTTGGTATTTAAAACTCAGGAACTCAAACACCAAACGGAGTCAAGCTAAATGAAAATAGCTATAAATTGACGTAAAAAAAGAAAAATAAATACCCGATTACTCCTTTACCTGTATTAAGGATTATAAATTAATAAGAAAGTTAAATGAATAAAAGTATATTCATTGGTTCGTTAACAATTTATGCAATTTAACACAGTCTAACACAGTATTAAGGATAGGCATGTGACACTTCGGTCACTCACTCCCCTTACCGTGATACTTACCGTGATAATGTTTGTATTTATATAGTGGCATAAAAAACGTAACAAAGCGCAAAACGTTACATTTATTTGTTTTCAATATATGACACGAGGATGTGATTTGTGTTCCTTAGATGTAGTTATGATCATCTGATCTATAAATAGCAATGAATCGGTATTGTATGTTTTTTTTTTGTTTAAAAGGATAACATTTTTAAGTATTTTATATAAGATTCTTGATTACTGGTTTTCTAAAAGTGCAAAATAAAAAAAGCGCGTTGAAGTTATTAGGTAAAGATTTTAAACTAAGTGTAAACAATGTCGCGTGATCAGAAATTTGCTATATTAGTAACAAATTAAGTATCCAATTTTTAGAAAACTATAACATTGTCCGTGGTTCTGTATCTGGCGCGATTACTTTATTGGTTTTCTGTTGTTAGAATGCTTTTGGTATGAGTTCTTGTTTGCTAGACTAAGTATATATATGCATAAAAGGGAATTGTTCCTTGGTCGGATGCGCGTATGAAAATTTTCTTAATATTCCCTTACACAAGCTTAATTGTTGGTACGGTGGTTGCCGAACACAGATGATCAAAACTGACGTAATAATGGGTCGGGAGTTAACATGGAGTAGATACTAAATGAAACACCAATAAAACACGTTTATTTAGAACTTAATTTTCGAGAAACCCTCCGGGAGTCATTTGCTCATAGTTTTTTTTGTACTATTATTATTATTGTTTAGGCTAATAATATTTTAATGTCATTTTGATTAATTGTAACTTACTTTTCTCTTATCGGTATCAAAACAAACAAACCGTTCAATTTGTCTCGCCTGAATACGAACTCTCGAGAATGTCACCGCCTGCGTCACAATGTATTAGAAAATATGTATATCTATGTGTATATATATACTTTTTTTTTTTTTTTCTAACTTAAGACGCACATGGTAACCCGGGGCAAACAATTTCTCCGACCAAAAGCTCGCTCCCTTTGGGATCAGTGATCCCCCCTAAGTCAGTGACGGAGTTTGTGGCGGTCTTTATCAAATCGGTCACGTAATTATCTGTTTGAGTTAATCATATCTGTGTTGCTCTGTCTTACCAGAATAACTTTCATTCCTAAGACGGTGACTCACCGTCCGGGACGATGAGAGAAATACAACCAAAACAGATAACGCCTCAAACTCGTAATGGAGTTCATTTAACCCCTTATTAAACCAACATAGCATCGTCTTTCTGTCGTGAACATGATTCACAACCTTTGCATTTTTTACCATTACTGCGGCAGAATTGGCCTCAAATGGTTAATAGGATTTATAATAAATATATAGAGGACCAGAGTACAATTATTTAAATTAGATAAACATCTGTTGTCATCTCTTAAGCTGTTCTGCTTAACTTGTTCTATCGTTCTTTAAACTCTTTTTTTCTCTTCATATAAATCTTAATTTTTTGCTTTTATAATGGTCTATGTTTTTTTCTAATATTTAAGGTTCGAATAAAATCTATCTCGCTTAAAAGAAACTTGTTTAGATGCTGTTTTTTTCTTATACACTTTTTTATTTAACATTTTTAGGTTTCTCTTTACTATATATAGAAAGATTCTTAATGCGGGTAAAACATGCTCAGGAAAAAGAGGATTAAGGAGTTTTCTCAACAGTTACTCCCTGAGTGCGTATTATGTTCAAGTTTTATATTATTATTATTATTTAGATATATCACTAAAATTTGACTTTCTTCGTTAACGAACATCAAAATATTTCCTCAATTTCTCGTTTTCGTTTATGTTTTTTTTTTCATTTATTTTTTTATAGGGTAGAAATAGATTCTAAACCATTATTAGAATCGGTCATTCTCGAAGGGATTTTCATGTTCGTAACGGAGACAGATTCTTCTGTTTCTTATTATAATCATGCTGCTTTGAAAAACCTACATTCTTGCCTTTTGGTAAATCGGCAATGGTGTGAAAGCGCTGTACGTATTTTATGGCGCCGACCCTTCAGCCCATTTCATAACGGCGGACACAAATTAATAACTACTTATTTGAGAAGTTTGGATGTTGAAGAACGAAGAGACTTGAAATTAAAAGGCATAAAATTACCTTCTGTCTCACCGATTCCGTTATTTAATTATCCTTCGTTAATTCGACACCTTGATTATGGTGAAATGTTATATTCTGTTGAAGTTTGGTGTAGAAACTTACCTAAAAGAAGATCAGATTCTGTTATATCTATAATGAGAGTTTTGTTGAGGCTTTTTTTACATAATGCTGGACCTCTTTCTTCATTAAAACTTGCTACTCTTGGTGAAGATTATACCGATGAGAAATGTATGATATTGACCGAACCTGAAATTAAAGGGTTGATTACTTCTGTGCGAACTCTTTCTCTAGATGGATTTTATTATAGCGAGCAAGGTTTATTGGCCAAACTTCCAGAATTATGTCAGAACGTGGTAAGTGGTTTAAATAATTTTAATAGCATGCTATTGACATATACTCTTGATGCAGATAAAGATTATAAAAACTTTTTGATATAAATTGTAGGAACATTTATATCTTCGTGGGTGGTACGGACACCAACCATGTAAAGCAGATACCACATCATCCACGAATGATTCAGCAGCAATTTCATTACGAAGACTAATTAAAGCACAAAAAAATTTAAAAACCTTTGACATGATAAATTGTAGAGCTCACCTTGGCTACATGATATCAGCATTAGATACCCAATCAGTTTCATTGAGGTCAATGAAGTTTCGGCTAGTAGATTTTAAAGATTGTGGTCCATGGGAAGGATTGGCATCATGTATTAAACTAAGAAATTTAGAATTTTGGTTTTGTAAAGGAATCACTCATAAAATGATTAAGCCCCTCTTAGGGAAAATATTTACTGAATTGGAAGAAGTTAAATTATTACAATATGGAATTGGATGTGAAGAATTTAATTATTGGGTGAATAATATTAATGGAATTAGTAGCACTAGCAACTGTAATATTTGTACTGTGGTGGATGAATATGAGCCCGAAAACACAAAACTTTATTGTTAATAAGTTTATAGAAAAAAAGAACAAAAAAAAAGAACAAAAAAAAAAATTGAAAAAAAAATTGAAAAAGAAACAAAACAGGTTTTATACACATCACATTGTTACACAAACACGCATTTACATCTTTACATTACATTTATACATATAAAAATTAGATATTAACACATTCAAAGAAAGATAGCCTTGTAAATTTTTACATATCATTTTTTCGTTTTGCATTTATATAATGCATAACTTGAAACCCCGATTTTTTTTAGTATCATTATCATAGTAATAATTAGATTTGAACATTTATTCTATATAGTAGTATATTCATATTAAGTAAATATATATATGTGTATCTTTAGTGAAAAAAAATTATTTGTTTTGGGTTTACCGAAAAAAATGTCATTTAGTTTATATACAGTAAATAAAGATCGTGACGTTAAAGTATGAATGATATATTACGCGTTTAAGCACGTGATTAGAATTATGAGTGACTTCAGGGTTTGATTAGAATTCGAAACCGGCTTTATTTTTTCATATATTAAACCAGTGCTGACATTTTGATGCCCAATTGGAAATTTTTTTTCATTGTTCCATTGCTTCATTAGGAATTTTTAATACGTATTATACGTATTTAGTACATATCAGATATTATAATTGTAAATTATCTAAAACAACCCAATTTAAATAAAAGAAGAAAAAAAACAGTATCGCTTTATTTCCCGTAGCAAATGCTTCATTGCAAACCCTAGTTTAGACCGATTAAACTGGGTTTAACATATCGATATAAAAGATCTGATGACCTCGAATTACAATTATAACTACCAATTTAGTGCATTTCTTTAGTTAAATGATTAGTTATTTTTAGTATAAAGTGTAGCAACCAACAATATCTTTTCAGTTATAACGCACTTGATTGTTTAAAGTCTAATATTAATGAACAGTTAGATAATGAAAATCAGGTCAAAATATGAAAATCCTAAAAGAATTTAAGTAGTAATATTGAAAATTCAAAAGAAAAATTAGGACATGTTTGACAACTTGGTCACATTGCACGAAACAATAACAAAGGAATCTTTTGGATTCGTAAACCATTAATTATACCCATTGGGGGTTTCATAATTAACTTTTTTTCAAAATAAGTGGAGTTTAAAAGATCATATTGCTTTTTTAGAATTCTGAATCAGAAAATTAAATAGGCGAAGCCGGTGATAAAATTAGCTTTTTTTTGATAAACATTAATTGGTAAGCGATTATGTACATCCTTTAAATAAATAGAATTTGTGCGTCGCTTATTTTGAAATAATACGTCACTTATTTTATCTGAAATCGGACGTCGAATCATTAATTCTGAAACCCCCTATTGAATCAAGTTCGATGATTTTTACTAAATTCCCCTGGAATTGGTACGTGCGTAACCTGGTTGAGCTTTAAATTTATTGGTACAATAAAGAAAATTTTAAAGGTAGGTGTTACATTTAACAAATTACGGCTTCATTGTTATTACGTCAAAAACTTGGCATGTACTCAAGTACATATGTAGTGCACTACTATAACGATAAATCACCCAGGCCAGATTGAGTCCGGTGCCCAAATTGCACGGATATTTATTATTTTATATAATCCGTAATCGTATGTCCATATGACGTTAATCTTCATTTTAAGCTGTGTGCAAGTTTCTTAATCTGTAACCACTTTATCTTTTCTTGCCTTATGCATACAGTTATTTGTTTATATTTGGTTTTTTTGTAGTTCACATGAATGCATATATCGATATTTTTCTTTCCCTTAAACGACAATATTTCGAAGTCGAATATCGAATCATTGAGGCATCAGACCACATTGAATCGAATGTTATTATACACTCATTTCTTGGAACATATCCTCATAATCGTTATAAAAGGAAAACAAAAGATTGCACTTATATCACTTGAGATGGTTTAGCCTGAAAACATTAGTTTTACAAGCATGAAAGGTTCTATTTACATACCATCGGACATAATTGAAGAAATTCTTTACTTTATTCAAAACGAACTAACCAATAAATCTGATCATTTAAACAACGAAAGTTCTACGTTGTTTAATTGTCTTTTGGTGAACAGGCAATGGTGCAAGCTTGTTATTCCGCGACTTTGGCGTCAACCATTTTTATATGTTAGGAAAGGGAACCCAAAACTTATTTCAACTTTTTTAACTTTTCTAAATGACAAAAGTCGTAGAACTCTTTTATCTAATGGAATCACTCTCTCATCACTTCATCAAAATTTCCATTTCTACAAATTCCACAGATCGCAATATCGATCAAATTTCAATTATGCTTCATTTCTTAAACATTTACATTATGATTACATGCTATCATCTATTGAAGAATGGTGTAGTTATTCAAATCAATCAGTAGGAAATGCTATTTCCCTCATCACAAACTCTTTGTTGAAATTATTTTTAGATAATAATGTTAAGTTAATGAGCCTTTTCGTTTGGCCAAATCACATACATTGGACTCACTATAGTTCAAGTAGATATATGGAATTAGTTGAATCTGAAGTTAGTGGATTGTTATCCGAGTTAAAATATTTACATATCGAGACACATTCTAAATATCCATCCGCGAGATTTTTCTCAAAGTTATCACGGATAGTTAATGTTGTAAGTAAATATAAATATTGCATATTATGTATTTTGTAATGTTTGTATTATTGAGTTAATCTTGAATAATCTTATAGAAAAAATTCTATTTACGTACTCAACTATTGGGTCTTATGGGATTTCCGAATGATTTGGAGAATGAAATGGCACGTAACATTAGTAGCCTAATTAATTCACAAACCAACTTAACCTCGTTCACACTTTCAAATTCAAGTCGATATACTTCTGATTTTATCAAATCTTTGTCACCTAACGTTCATAATATTCAAAATATCTCATTAATTGAAACAAAAATTGTTGAAATTGATTCATGGACAATTTTATCCAATTGTATAAATTTACAAAAATTGGAAATTATTAAATGTGCTGGACTGAATGTAGAATCAATTATATCTTTCGTATCAGCTAACTGGGAAACCCTGGAAACAATTTTAATTGAAAATAATCAACCAATTGATGTCAACAATGAATTGGAGCAGTGGGCAAATAAAAAACGTAATATGAACAACAAAAATTTATTATAAATTTTCAACACATCGTCACGTCGGACTTTAAATTTACATATTCATAATTATATATGCGATCAGGTATTTATCTATTCATCTCTTACTGTCTAATAAAGGATTTTGGGTCAAAATCCCGAAAACAGATTCCCGAAGAACATAACACTGACTAATCGACCAGCATTATATCTAGTGCCGGCTAACTTTGTCGGTATCTGTTTTTCGGGATTTTGACTCAAATTCCTTACAAAGTTAAACTACATCACTTAATTCTGCTGTATTATTGCAGATTTTCTTTATTTTTTATTTTTTATATCATTCAATAAAGTTGCATCAACTTAAACGTCTACCAATTCTTTATTAAATTTTAAAAATGTTAGTACCGCTTGTGGTCGTTGTCTCAATTAGTGAATTACAGTCTCGCTGATGATATTATAGTGCACGAGGTAAATATCTCCCTTGGTATTGTATTAATAACATGGATCTAAAAATTAAAAAGCAAATTCTCACAGGTATTAACAGTTGACTCTCTCAAAACCGATAACCTATCAAATTAAATAGTTTATTATGTTTTCAAATCCGATATTCTCTCATAATTGATACAAAACCTGCCCGTCATGCATACCGGTTTTGAGAGGGTTGACTGTATATAAATTCAATTATTTCCTTCATTACTTTTTTTCTACTTTCAACTTGCGAGATAATTTATATCATAGTATACTAGTGAAATAACACGATTACATCATTTTAATTTAATATTATTTAGAAAACAAAAATGTACATCGTCTATAGGTGCAGGAAGATTTATCACTGAGTATGTCCTAGTGTAAAGACGTATCGACACGTCTTAACAATAGGATGTAGCCCATGACGTAAATCTTTCTGTACCTATAACGTTGTCTCACGAAATTATAAGCTATTTCATTATAACATTGATACGATAATCCGATAAGTACAATTTATTTCCCGCAATGGCGACAATAATAAATAAACTCCTGGGCACAAAGAGCTTTCAAATCGCCAGAGACTTACTGGCTATTTTCCCGTAGTGAGACATGAGGGTGTTTGTATGATGGCATGACGGTGATTTACAGCCGTTTTCAAAAAGGTGTGGAAACCGATTTCCATATACCCAGGTAGGGAATCGAAATTCTGATTGGTAAAAATTAAGAATCCGGTTAGTGGGTCTTGAAGGCTCTAGAAATCGGGAAACATTGTGAATTCTTCATAGTAATCTTCATCTTTCCACAACTCAATCAGTGAAAAAAAGTTTCCAAAAACACTTGTTATTTCCTCGGTAAACCCGAGAAATAACAAGAAATTTTTTTTTTCATTGATCAAAAGGCAAGACTACTGTTCCTGATGGATCGTCGGTACTGTTCCTGATGGGATGAAAAAAAAAACAATTTACATACCGTTCCTGATAGTGTTCTTAAAGGAACCCCAAAGTTTATTCTCATGGCGATGCTTAGTTATAATTCGAATGCTAATTCACGACTCGTGATTGATTCACAACGTGATTTCAACTTTCCTAAATATTGGTCTTAAAATAATACGGTACCGTATCTACGCGAAAAACTTCCATAGGCGTTATTCGAGACAAGTAATTTGAAGAGAACTAATAATTAACTTAGCAAAAGAATTATTAATATTAAAATTATGGTTGTATTCGGCTAAATTAAATATTAGCTCTCTCTTTGAATTACGTGTCTTAAAATAATGGGCGTCATTTCCCGCGAATTCAATAAAAAAATTTGGGTTGAAAAAACTTAATTAAATGATTGAACACTAATTTCCGTTTTTTTTTTTGAATTTTATGTTATAATCTGGTTGGGCAGTAATTAGTGGACTGCCAAATTTTTATGCAAT